TGAGATGAGGCAGATCAAGTCAGAAGACCAAGTTGCAGACTTATTCACAAAAGGTTTGAGTGGTAGCAAGTTTGAAAGTTTTTGTCATCAGCTCGGCATGGTAAAGAGTTTGGAAGTTGATGTTGGGGGAGAGTGTTAGAATTATCAACATTAGCATGTGACTGTGAGGATGTGTTGAACAAGTCAAGTTTGTCAAAGATATGCCTCTGTTCAGTTTTTCAATAAGTTAGGAATTGTCCTTGTCTTAGGGAGGTTATTGCAGCACGTTGCTGCATATGTTTAGAGTGACTTGTTATCTTTATGTTCCCAGTTTTTAGTAAGTTTCTGTTGATGGTTTTGCCTATAAAAGGCTTGTGTTAGGTGAAGTTTCATATATCACCACATCAATAAAAGTATTTTCTTTCCTCTTCTGTTTGTCTCTTTTATAAAGTGGATTCAACATCTATACCATTGAACATAAATTTTTTGGAAAATTGTGAGTAGATATCTTATGAACTATTTATTTGTAAAAAAATACCTTAAAAAAATGTATTGTAGATAAGTACTGTTAGATGGAAATATATTGTGTCAAGATACATAATACAGTTTTTTAAATTTTTTCTTTACTGAAATAATATTTTCCATAATTCATGGATTGCGTAGTTTGACAATTCTTTTTTCCATGGGATTTGGTTTTATTAAATCAACGGTTTTCTATTTTAGATGATCTTTATTTTTTGAATTTTAAACATATTCTTCTTCCCTATCTGTAACGCCCGATTTTTTTTCTTTTTCAAAAAAAATACCCGGGCATGATTAAAGAATAAAATCACACCGAACTTACGATAACCTTCCTTGTATTATTATATTCTACGTACAAGTACACAATCCTCACATGATCATTTCAAATATTCTTGATACAACATAAAGAGAAATAATAATAGCAGACTCTATCTATCGTCCTTTTAGCCTATTCTCCAGCCCGACTTCATATATCTGAATAATGTTAGATAGGGATGAGCTCACCAACTCAGTAGGATAACGTTTATCAATGGCTACCAAGGTTTTAAAACAATGCATAATATAATTAAACCACGGATAAATGCAGGAATAGGACAAAGTAATGAATCAAATAAATAAATAAATTTCAGCACATATCGATCATATCAATCCGTTAATTTTCTGGTCCATGTATGAATTGCCTTTGGAGAAAACTTTGGGGTCTTGCACCCTAGGGAACCCAATGCCCTTCTTGCTTTTCTGGAAACACCAATACCGAGAATTATGTGGTGCCACACAGGCTACCACGACAATCGGTATTACTAACCAGTGAACCCAAAGACTAGTAGGAATTCTGTGATTCCTTGCAAGGATCACACGTCTACTAACCCTCTGCCCTCGATTATGTGCATTCATAGTAATTTCATCAAAATCACAAAATAAAGTCATATCGTAATCAGACCCAACAACAAATTAAGCATTAAATAATAATAATAAAAAAAATATATTTACCATGCAACGTGATTTCACAAAATAATTAGGGTTTCGACATAAAAAAATATAACATGTGCATGATAACGATTTATTTATAAAACCTCAGTTTGACCCCATGATTATAGCGATATAACATTATTAAAAATAGATTTGATATGAAACCCCAAAATATGCATGAAATGCATCAATGACAGTAAAAGATAAAAGAAATCTTACCTCTGCCTTGATTTTTACTCGATACTGTATACTGTGACAAAACAACCAAAATAATATTTTAGAATAACAATAGGTAATAAGAGCTTATTTAAGCCAAAATAATTTTTTTTTGAATAACTAACGAAAAATAATGATACTTAAATTTGATCCAAAAATATTTAATGAGGATCAACTTTAAGTTACTCTAGTCTATAGAATTACTACATAATAACTAAAAAAATCTTACCCAAAAATTTTGATCACAAAAACTAGCTCTTAGGTCAGCAAAATTTTGACCCCTTTTTCTCTCTCCTCTCTCTCTTTTCCTTTCTTCCTCCCTCTCTTTCCCTTCCTTTCTTCTCCTTCTCTTTTGTGCGTTTTTGCTTGGCCTGGGCTTGGCTATTTATAGCCAAAGCCCTGCCCCAGTATGTCATGACTTACGCCATGTTGCTTGCCTCACTTGTACAGTCGTCCATTATTTTACCATTTTTTTTGTTTGTGCACGTTTCCAAATCTTAAAAAAAATCTAGAATAAGATTTTGTCATTTCACAGACAGACAAATAAACAGACAGATAGACAGACACACACACACACACACACAAATATATGTTCATTCACTATATGATTACAAAATTTGACCTAAATTATAGTTAATTGACTTGTTTCCACGTGAAGAGTCTATATTTGAGGTTCATTTGTTCCAAAAAAAAATAAATCTCAATTATATAGAATCATAATTAATGACATAATTAGCATGTCAATGATTAACTAATATACGGGTCGTCACAATATCAAAGAAGTTTGATTTAATAAAACTAATGTTGGTGCTTGTCTTCTTCAACATAATCTTATACTTCGACGTTTGTACTTCAACATTGGGTGATTGTCTTATACTTCGACGTCATTTTCCACCCACAGGTTGCATAGTATTTCATCTTCTTCTGCTTCAATGGCTGGTGTTATACTTTAACACTTGGTGCTCGTCTTCTTCAACATCTTCTTCTACTTCAACTTTTCTACTTATAGTTTCCCAACATTGAGGTGAAACAAAAAACTAAAATCTTATCCCTCATCTCCTTCTCCGTAAGCCCACCACGATCTATTTTTGCAAGAATTTTCTCTTTGTTTTACTCTTGACGGGCTAGTTTGGATGATTCATGTCCAAATCAGGTAATATATTTCTTCATTGAAGCAATTTGCTTTTGCTCCCATTTGTACTGTTTTATCTGATTTTCTACTTCAATGTCGATTGTTATACTGTGTTGTTACACTGTGATGTAACACTACCATTCTTAAACGTAATATATGTGTTTGTCGAACTGTAAATGTTACATTTTGATGTCACTGTGTAAAGAATACCATTTAGATTATGCATGAATCAGAGAATGCAATTGTACATCTTTTGTCAGTTATTAAAGTGCTAATGAAATTGTTACACTGTGATATATCAATGGTGCTCCAATGTATGAGCAATCAATACATAGGCGAAATTTTTTTTGGATCTCAAACTTTTTGGTTGTTTGTGTTTTGATTTGGTTGAAAATCTCATGGATTTTATGACATTTTTTGTTTACATTTCAAACATCCTGTTTTACGCGATATCTTAATGGCCGGATTTCATAAGAATGATGCTAGATTTTCGGATGTTTTCCAAATCCATGAGATGGTGCCAGTTAGTTTTTATTATGGGTATATTTGACATTTACAAATAAAAAAAAACTTCTGTGCAAATAGTTTTTCCTGAAAGACCTTTACTCGATTAAGTCCTATATTATGTAGCGATCTACAAAAATCTCTAAAATTTTCTTGTTGAGCTTAAACTTTATAAGGTTCTTTTAATATTGACTTAAAATACTATAGATTTAGAGTTTAGACCTCAACTGTATCATGAATATCTATATAATAAAGTATAATATAATTCAAATTTTAAAAGATAAACAAAATGATTTCTACTTTTCGCGATTGAAATCTCTTTAAATTTTACTTTAAAATTAATCTGACGGTTAATATTAACACCCCAAATTTAATAGAGAAAATAAACCCATAAGGGTGTGTTTGGGGTATAGGATTTATAACTTTTTATAAGTACTTTAAAAAAAAAATAAAAAAAAATAGTATTTAGAACTACCCCACCACCACAACTACCCCCACTGCCCCACCAACATTACCAGTACCGTCACCACACCACCACCTTAGCTTCCACAACCACCACCAATGTCACCACGCCACCACCACCACCATACCCGTCGCCCCACCACCAGCATAACCACTACCATCGTTCTTATCGCCCCACCACTACCATCATCACTGATACTGCCACCCTACCACCACCACCACCACCACCACCTACCCCGCTGTCACCCCCATCACCACCTCTTCTACAAAAGTCATCACCACCCTCGTCGCCACCACCACCACCACCACCCCACAACTACCCCACCACCACACTATCCCATCACCGTCTTCCACCACTACCACTGCCGCCCACAATTACTACCACTGATCGCCCCAACTATAACTGGTGCTTAAATTTTTTTTTCTCTCTTTTATCTTTGTAATTTGATTCTAGATGTAAATACAAATATATTTATTGTTGATCATTTTTTTTTCTTATGTCTTCGGACATGGAAAATAATTATTATAGAGTATGGGACACTCTTATTATTGGGCCTAAAGCCCATGTTTTTTTTGCTTCCCCTATTGGGCCGGCCCTGGTTTTGACCCTTGGATACAATCTTGGTACACTAGTAGTGTGTATCCCATATGGGAATGTAAGTCAAATTAAGGTTGCATACTTAAGGTTTACTCTCGTAGGTGCTGTCCAAATATTTAATGTTTTTTTAACCCTTTTGATTGTTAGCAATGAGAATTGAACCTTTACCTCGTCTAATATATCTCTGATGAGAATCAAATCCTAATGTCTACTATTGAATATAACATTCTGAATTGTACTCGCGAGGGTACAACCAAAGAGAGACTGCTATGCAAGCAAGAGAAGAATTTCACAAGGAAACAAAAACCAGTATATTATTCCTAATGATAGTTCGAAGGGATAATAAAAACGAGTTATAAATTTAGACGTCTTGAGTTTAAATTTTTACAATTCTTTGACTGGATAGAGGAGTGGGACCCCACCATAGTCAAGTGGGTCCCTTATTAATACAAACAGTTGATGATCTAATATTGAAAGAAATATATCCAAATCCTATACTTAAAGAACAGTTCCTCAAAATAAATGTTGGCATCAGCATCACCCAAGAATCACACTCTGGACTTAGGTAACCATTGTCAAAGCAGCTCTGGTTGCATCACAATCAAGTTTTTTTTTTTTGATACATTCAAAAAAATGAATATACAAATAGACCACTTCACATATCTGCTAAAAAACATTTTCCCTCAGCATCACACAACTATTTACAAGGGACTCCACCGCACCTATGTCAAGGCCAAAATTAAGGCCCCACCGCGTGCTTTGGACGCTGAAGAATAAATTTAGCCCCAACGAGTTGCCATAGATGTGGAAACTCAAACTCAAACATTGAGCGAAAAAATCTGAGACTCACTAAGCCAAGAGCTCGTTGGTTCATCACAATCAAGTTGACCAGTACGTATTTCAATCTCATTCAGAACACCAATCACCAACACGACTTTAACAATGCATACCTGGCAGATAGATCGAATGCACATTATCCTAACAATAACTCAGCATGGTGATAACAGCAAAAACTGTCTCAATTTAAAAAAAAAAGAGAGAGAGAGAAAGACAAGGGAACGAGAGAGAAAAGAGAAGGGGGAGAGGAGGAGACGGGGGGGGACCACTTGCTCATGTGGTATGATAGTCCCCACAAGCTGAATTCAACAAATCACCAGTCAGCGACATCTAGTTCCATTCGCTACCTAAGCTTTAAGTCGTCCATAGAAATTGCCCTTTTCCTGTGTTGTCTGGGAAGCGACCATGGCCAAACTTTGAGGATGTGTCCATAAACTTAAGTTTGATGTCCTGCAATGCAACCCGGGATGTCTGGTTCAACAATGACAGCCTCAGTGTGACAATATGCTTCTTCGGTACCATAGAGCATCCCTTTATCAGCCGGTAATCAACTTTCACAACACCCTAATGAGGGAACCTCCCATTCGTGTAATATCCTCCTCTGTCCTACATATAAAAACATAACCAATTAAATACAATCATCTGCACAAAATGAATATTTCCGAAGGGCTGAGGAAAACTTTACTGCTTGAATTTGCAGACAGAATATTATGTCCTTGCTTAGGTCAACATGCATGCAAAGTGACCCTAATGAGCACCCTTGCTGCAGATATGGCATTAGCACTTTCCTAATAATATAGGGCTTTTTCAGCTTGATTGGAATCTATTTAAAACTCTGCTGTAATTCCAAAATAATCCCTACTATGGCTAGCCAAAATGGATGTTTTACGCCAGAAACTATTTGAAATGGACAATACAGTTTAGATCCCCAGAATAGTTCTCATGAATTTATATATAAAATCCTAATAAAGGAAAAATTGCCTAACCTTTCAAACTCTTGACAGCGGAATGAGACTCCTGACCAGTCTTGCCCAGCTAGTAAATTTTCTTGTTCATTTCCGTGCAATGATGATAACCATTTTTCCCAGCCCTCGCAAACAGTGAATGAACCCCTAGCTGGATGCGAGGCACTGATACAGGCAAACTTTGCAGAGCCCACGGTGGATCTTGCGAGGGAGGCGGGTGACATGCCAACAGGTCACCACACCTTCATGGCCATTACCCTTCGTCACTCCAATGATGTCAATCATCTCATCTTTCTGGAATATAGCATCAACAGGAATCTGCTTCTTGAAAACGCTATTCGCATAATCAACCTTCTTAGCAGCGTCTCCACCATTCACCTGAATCTCCATCAGGTGGCCTTCTTCTGCTTCGGTCCTTTCATCTTTTGAATCTAGAACCCACATACAACAAAACATAATATCAAAACTTAAAAATAATGACCACAACATTGTGATACTTGCAATGTAAGAATAGCTTGCTTTAGTAGGACGCCAACATACAACTCACATCACGGTGTGAAACTGAAGATAAATAGCACTCCCACAGTTGTAGTCATGCAGATGCCCAAGCACCAATATTGACAGTTCTTAAACTGGACTTCTACACGGCTCTCATGACTTCTCAATAAATAAGATAAAGCTAAGAAGAAAGTGCTTTAAAGAGTTCCTGAAGAATAAAATACCTGGGTATAAGCCAAAACACGAATAACGGAACAGTACTTCATTTTCTCCAACTGTGCCTCCTTTTTCCCTTCAGTTTCATACTATTTTGAGTACTTGGTGAAAGCCTTCCTCTTGGACTTGCACTAGTTCTTGCAGAATCTCCTCAACAATGACCATTGGAGCTCTGGGGAAAGAGGGGACTTGTAAATAACAAGTGATATACAGATAAAGCAGGTACAAGTATACAATGAGAACAATACGATTCCTTTGAATAGGTATTTTTCCACTGTCTCGTACAATCTCGCAATAAGGTTGCAATGGGAGCAAAATAGATTCTACAATAAAAGAATGGGCACAAAAGAAGGGTAAAGGCCTTAAACAATACAATGCATGCAGGGAAATGAGTAGGTAACTTGGGGGTTGAAACACCTGAAAATTATTGGTTGTAACATTTATTATATGCTTTCGGAACAAGAATTTTGACATAAGCAAAAATTTTGGGTTGCGAATACTATTATATATATTCCTATTGATTTCATAAATTTTTCCTCCAGTACCATATGGACAACATCAGTGGGTAAGGTAAAACATCCATAGAAGAGAAGAAACTCACTTGACAATGGTTTTTTGACTTCTCTAACAATATGACTCATCCCATTTTTGTATCCAAGGAAAGCAGTTAACCTGGAAGGTTTTGCCGGATCATCTTTGGGGAAGGACTTTACTGCATAAACATCAGAGACGATGAACACCGGGAAACAAGTGCAACCATGTAAGAATGCATAAATTGATCTGCGGGAAAAATTCTAAAAAGATAAAGGAAATCTGGGACTCCCTTATAAACGAATGAGATACTGACTGAATGGTAAATATTGATTATCAAATCCACAAAGAAAAGAATAGAGCTTTCCATGTCAACGATTCTTGATCAGGCATTAGGTTATATCATACAATGATGCATACACCTCTCCTAAAGGAGCATAAAGAAAAATTACAAACTTGATAGGTACTCATGCCCACTTTCCACAATTCTTCCAGGTAAGCACAAAACCTTAAAATGCTCAATACAACCAGACCATGAAATGTTGTCGCTGAGATGTAACAACTAAGTAGAAAATATGTCAAAGAGATAAAAACAGAGTAAAGGATTCCTGACAAATCAGAAGGCCAGACATCGACAAAGATCTCCATAGGAATTAACATTTAACAAAGATCATCCAGAACTCACACACATCAACACACTGAGATCCAGGTGCATAAAGCTGCAGCAATACTAAATACTCCCTCCGTTCCTAAATATCTGTCATTTTACACAATTTTTTTTGTTTCATAATATCTGTCACTTAATGAAACCAAAGCATAATTAATATTTTTTCTTCCAAATTTACCCTTAAATTTTCAATGCATTAGATTTGGTAGAGGCTAAGTACCTTTCATATTCATTTCCTTCCCAATACGTATTGAATAAGGGTATTTTAGTCTTGTGTAATTATTTTTTACTCATATTAGAGCTATTTAATAGTTTCCTTAATTCCTGTTCAAAAACTTTAAACGACAGATATTTAAGAACGGAGGGAGTATATCCTAAACTTAACAATGGGAAAAATCAACATATGATTGTCAACCGAAAGGACATAACATCTTATGCCAGAGCAATAGAGATGAAAAGATCAGAAATTATGTCACAACATATAAAATCTTCTGATGATGAAAATAAGAAAGGCATTTCAAATTTAAGGACGAAAAAAACACCATATATTATACCAAACCAAGCAAAACCAAACCAAGCCAAGCCAAATCAAATCAAGCCTTATGTCTCAATCATTTGGGGTCAGCTATAGGAGTCCGTCTCAATGTTGCTTAGATCGTGGATCGCTTTGGTACGTGGTAAGGGTATCGGTACATGGTACGATAATTTCTTAGGTACGCAGTACGATGGAAGTATGTTTAGCTAATACGATGTTTTGGGTCGTAATTCGTTTTGAAACTGTTATATAGATTGTTTTCACTACTATACAATATTATATATTAGAGAACATTCATAAATACTAAGTTAGTTATCATTTATCTTATAATTATACTTGATTTTCTATTATTTAAATCAATATATAATTATAAATTTATATACATTTAGTCAATTAATATGTATTTTATATTTGTGCTACATGTTCTAAAGCGAATTAATTTAGAGTTAGTATTATAATTTGGGATCGTCCATTTTGGTGATCTGGATCGCAAACCCACCTCGTTTGGGATCGATGTACTCAGATTGTGGGTCGTTAAGGGTTAGTGAACTGTGGTAACCATGGTCCGTCTTCACCATTCATTTCGATCATACGCTATACACTCATTTAAGTTAAATATTTTCATATATTTTCTTATTATTTAGTTTAATGTTAATATAGGTCTACCCCTGCTTCTAGTACCATTAATAGAAATTCTATCATTTTTTCAAATCGGTGCCTCTATCGGCCTATATTGAACATGACTAAACCATCTTAATTTATTTGCTCTTAACTTATCCTCAATTGGTGCTACTCCTACCATTTCTCTAATACAGTCATTTCGTATTTTATTCTTTTTAGTTTTTCCAGACATCCATTTTAACATTCTCATTGTTGTTAAACTCATTTTGTCACTATGTTCTTTCCTAATTGCCCAGCATTCCATATTATATAACATTGTTGTCCTTATAGCTATTCGGTAAAACTTACATTTCAATTTTATTTGTATCCTTCTATCACACAATATACCAAAGGCTTTTCGCCACCTAAGCCAATCGACATTGATTCTACATCATTTCCAATCTCTCCATTTTAATGATCGATCCTAGATATCTAAATTGTTTACTCGTTAGTATTTCTTGATTTTCAATCTTAACTTTTTTACTATATCTATTTCTTCTATTACTAAAATTGCACTGCATATATTCAGCCTGACTTTTACTTATTTTAAACCCTTTCGACTCGAGTGTCTCCCTCCAAATTTTTAACTTATTATTAATCCCCATTCGAATTTCATCTACTAATACAATATCATCTGCAAATAGCATATACCATGAGACATCATCTTGAATGTGCTTAGTAAGTTCATCCATAATTAGGGCGAATATGTATGGACTTAGAGCCGATCCTGGTGTAATCCCACCGTAATTGAAAATTCTTTACTTTCTCTCACGTAAGACCTAATTATAGTTATAACCCAGTCATACGTGTTCTTTATCACCGCAATATACCTATTCGTCACTCATTTTCTCTCAAACATCCTCTATATTATATTTCTAGACACTTTATCATTTGTCTTTTCTAGATCTATAAATATTATATGGAGATTTTTCTTATTCTCTCTATATTTTTCTATGAGTGTCCTTAATAAATATATAACTTTCATAGTTGATCTACTCGACATAAACCCAAACTAATTTTCCGATACTGACACTCAACTCTTAAGTGACGTTCAATGACCCTTTCCCATAGTTTTCATTGTATGATTCATCAATTTTATCCCACTATAATTATTACAATTTTAAATATCAATTTTATGCCTCCATATATTATGCATCCAATTTCGTCTCCACGAAAAAGACAAATTTTATCCTAGACCAATGGAGATTAAAAGATTGGCGATTTCATCACAACACATAAAATTACCAGATAATAGCAATAAGGCCGCATAAATAAAGCAGAATTCAAAATAACGATTGTTATAAACCTTTTTCTGATAGTGAAAACTCTTTTTCTTGGGAGAAATCCTAAAAAGCCATGTCTTGGGTGCCCAAACTTGCGAGGAGACATACTCCCTTGTAATATTCCATCACGCACACATACACGCACGCACACACTAGCAATCACCCCATGCCTGGAGACACTCTGCATACCAAAAATCGAGTATTGATTGTGCAACATTTATATTTTAAATAACATTTGTTTTAATTACGCAATTTAAAATTAAAATGAGTAGAGAGAAAATAAGAGAGGGGCATAGGAGAGAGAAGATATAGGTAGGAGTTGATTGGTGGTGTTGTTTGGCATTGAGGAGTATTTTAATTGAGTTGTTTAACATGAGAGGCGCATAGAGAGAACAATATTTTTGAGAGCAAAAAAAAATTTTGGTAAAAAATTTTGTATGATTGGATTAAAAGTAGATGAAAATTGGATAAATATTGACCATTGTTGTTCTTTTATAAGTTAAAAATTCAACATGCTAACTATAATCTTAGATACTAGTTATTACCCGTGCCTGAAGGCATTATATAACAAACAATTTTTTTTAAAATAATTATCCAAATTCAAAAGGAACGACTTAAAAATATTTATATCAATTCTTCTTTTAAAATGACTTGAAATATATCGTCGATTATATTTTCCATATTAATGGAACAGTCATAAAAATATATAAAAACTCCCCAAAATAACGCCATATATACAAATGTCTATGAGAAAAAAAAAATTAACATAACACATTAAAATTTACAATCTTTAAACAATAAATAAAATCTTGCTTATTTATAAGACTCACAAATTTATCACCTCTACTACCATTCAATCCAATAATACAACATAATTATAAACTCAATCATCATATTTACAATCCACCATATCCCTATGTAATAAATAGCTGAAGCAAAAAAAAAAAAAAAAAACCTAACATAACACAATTAAATTCACAATCTTTAAATAATAAATAAAATTAACCAAATCTTACTCATTTATAAAATTCATGAATTTATTACCATTCAACCCTAAATGACACCATATAATTATAAATTTAATCAACAAATGTCCAATCCTCCACATATAAATATACACAAAAATACACCCACTCACATTTTTTTTTTGGTTACCAACAAACCCTCATAACCAATAACTGTTTTTATTAAAAATACAATAATTTAATTTTTTAAGGTAAAATAGTAATAAATTAATGTTTAATTAAAAAAATGGGTAAAAATCATGAACATCCCTTGAGTTTTGATAATATTACACAGACACTCTTGATATTTCATAAATAATATGGAGACCCTCTAAAGTTTGTTATTAATTGTACAGAGACCCCATCTATCTCTCTTCTGCCAATGTTGCTAACAAAAATTGATAATTTCATCCCAAATTTTTTTATAATTTTTACAATTTCCCTTCTCTAAAATTAGTACAAAAAAATTAAAAATTTAATAAAATAAAATAAAATTTGATTTAGTACCTAAAAAATTGATATAATTTAGTACCCCCAAAAATTGATTAAATGAATTTCAATATTAATTTGATAACAATTAAAATTAATTTGATATTAATTTGACAAAGTTGAATATAAATTGGACAAAATTAAATGTCATTTTTTGATAAAATTATTAATTTACAATTTACTGTTCATTTTTGAATATTATTGGGTGTTTATATTCAATGTGCTATAAAAATTTTGAATTAGTTTCATGAAATAAATAATTGCATAACATGTAATTTCATATGTTTTATGACGAAAATAATAACAAAAATAATACAGGGGAAACAAAAAAAATATTATGAGAGAGATAGAGTTTAAAATAAATAGAGAGAGAGTTATATGAGAGATAAGAGTCTTAGAGTTGTAAAAAGAATGAAAATTCAATTAGGACCATCAGATCAAAACAATCTTAGCCGCAAAAAACTCAAAACAAATTTTTCTATCTATTTTATTAGGGAAAACTCCAGTTTACCCCCTCGTGGTTTACCCTGATTGCACATAACCCCCCTGAGCTCTAAAAATAGCACATTACCCCCTTATAGTTGTTGGACTAAAATGCACTGTCAACTTTTTCATCCAATTTAACGGTTTGTATACCTCACGTGCCTACTGTGCAATTTGGTATACACGAAGTATGTTAAAAGTTCCAAAGTACCCTCAAGCTTTATGTCCCATTCTCTCTCTTCTTTTGGCAGTCCCTCTGATTCTCTCAACTCACAGGGTCTTTGCAAGTTCCACCCACCACAACCCCTCTCTCTCTCTCTAAGGTATACAATGTCTTGTGGCTAAGTTAATGTCCAACTCATCGGCAAGTGCGATACCTGGGCTTCTCGCTTAAAGAACTTGAATGCTTTGATGTCGTCGGCGTCCATGGCTATGCTCGATCTTTGCTTCATGAAAGTCTGAAAAATATACCATCGGCACGGGTAAACCGACTTTGAAAAAGTCTACACACCAGCTTCGATTAGGGTGATTGGAGGGTTGAGTTTGTGCTCTGCAAATGGGTAGTATTATAAAACCCAAGCAAAGAGAACTTTTGTTACAAGGCATCATCCACAATTCTGTGATAGGGTAAGCTTGTTTTCATATTCGGTAAAAATTTCCTAAAGTTTCTTTAGTGGCCGTGGTGTATAGTGAGAAAAAATCAAAACCCTTATTTAAGTTTGATACTTGAATTTTTGGGTACTCAAAATTTCGGAGGCCTAATTCACTATTGAAGGGGGGCCTAATTCAGCATTTTTAGGGTCAAGGGATCCATTTTTGAATTTAGAATCGAGAAAGAATGAGGTTTGGTGGGTGAAAAATTGAATTAAAAATTGTGACAATTTTTAAAAATGATGAACCCGTCACTTTGGAGCTCGATTTCCACTTACCTTGTGCATGATTTGGACAAACTAAATACATGGTTGGAAAGAGGGTGGAAATAGATTAAATTTAGGCATTTGAATCACCCAAAAAGGTTGAGAAAAATAAGGAGAAATTAAGGGCCAAAGTTGGCCCAAATGTTGAAAAAAATCTGGTATGTACATAACCTGGTAAAATGAGTTTGTGATCACCTTTGTGCGTAAATTTGTGGGTCATGGGGGCTATTTAAGGAAACAAGTATGTGGGGTTTAAAACTAGGTTGAGACTGGAGGATATTGACATTGGTTTGAGGAAGTTTGGTACTTTGTGGAGAGAGAGAAAAACTTGTAAAGTTGAGTGGTTGGTTGATTTTTCAGAAAATTAGGTAACAATTGAGAGGGAGGAAGAAGATGATGAATAATTTGAGAGTATTAAAGTCATTTTATCACTTCTGTTTACGGTGTTAATTGTGCATATTGGTCCGAAAGCACAAGGAGGTAATGTCCTGATTTCCAAATTATAGGAGGGTCATGTGCAAAACACCCAAACCACAAGGGGGTAAACTGGATTTTGCCAATTTTATTATATAGATATACTAGTTATTGTTTGTGCACTGTACAACACAAAGGAAAAATCGCAAGAAATTGCCCAGATTAAAAAAGAATGACCTGAATAATATCCATGTTGACAAAATTATCAAAATCATATGATTCGCGATTCAACTCGTACAATTCGATTCGATACAAATACAAAACGATTCATATCTTATATGAGAATCATTTTAGAGTTGAATCGCACCTAAATTGTACGATTCGATTCGTATCTCACAAATCGCACGATTCAATCACTTTTTTTAAAATCCAAATTTTTTACAAAACGATGTCGTTTTGTCCGCTAAATAGTAAAACGACGTCATTTTGTTTACAGAGGAATCTACGCCCTAATAAAAACTCAACTTTTTTGCTCATTTTCTCTTTAACGTCGTCTAAAGTTCGTCTTGCGTTGTCTAAAGCTAAAGGTCACGGCTAACACTCTCACATCATCGGTTGATTTTTGCCCTCAATTCTTTCAGGATTAGTTTGTTATATTCTAATTTTTTGCTTCAAAATATTTGCCAGCATGTTTTCTCCCAATCAATTTTTTTTTTATTTGTTCTTTTTTCATTTATGTTTGTAACATGATCTATCCTGGGTGTTACTATTTTGATTCTTGAATAGCCATAGTTCTTCAATGAACTTTTTTTTTAAGTTGTTGAATTTGAAAATGGTTAAACAAAAGATAAAAATGAAACAAAAAACCAGTGTCTTTCCATTTAGACGATTTGATTATGTCAATTGATTTTTTTTAGAAAGCAATAATATTCAATATTTAACATTTTGTTTATTTTAAATATATAGTATTAATTTTTATTTTTGTTCAAATTTTGCGTCGAATCTTGCGATTCACGATTCTCAAATTTAGGATTCCGATTCACGATATGAATCGCGATTTAACAACTATGCATATTGATATCTTGCATTTGAAATGTACTTCATGCCAATATTATAAAACAAATTATTTCTGAAGTTCTAGTTAGGGGAAATTTGGTGCCTTACCCCTTTTTCGGTCTAATATACAAAAGATTCAAGAAAAATAAATTCAAAAAATAAAAGGAAAACATTTTCAGGGGGAAGCCGGTCACAACCAATTCCGTTCATTTTTTGCCGCAATATTGCAATATTTATCTTTGGAGTGTGCAACTCTCATATTTTTAGGGTGTTTGCATTTGAAATAAAAGTCAAGTGTGTCAGGTGATCTACCCTTGTTTGACTATCGAATATTGCATGATTTAAGGAGTCTTGGTTCTCCTTCATTGGTAGTCGAAATTTATGCACAATTAGAGAATACAACCTTCCTTATCCAACATAAATGTGAAATTTCCTCCCTAACATGTCTCCTTATATGTTGCAACAAAAAACAGCTTTGATTTGCTCATAATGTGCCGCCCATCGACAACCAGTTTTCTTTTGGTTTTTCTCAATATCAATAGTTTTCCATTTTCTCGTTTACACATGTGTAGATCAACTTACTCACTTGCAACCTCTATCTCAATCGCTAATGAAAACGAAGATATGTCAACTAAAGGATTAAATACTACCAGAAAAAAAAAGAGAACAGGCAAAGAAAAATGAATGAGCAATTATTATCGGATATGAAACTGATGAACTAAATTTACCTCTATTAAAACCTTCCAACTCTTCAACCCAAAACCATCATAGAATCTAATCCTGTCACCATCACCACCGCCATTCCAACCCCTACACAAAATTTTTAAATTAAAATATGAAAAATTTTATTTTCCTAAATGATGCTTTCAAATGCAACCCCTAGTTTACTTTAGTTTAATTCAAGTTATTTTTTAAGTTTGGACTTTTTGGTTTACAGATGGTCAACCGGTCAACATTTCAAGTAAATTAAATTATAAATAAACACCATGACACTCAAATGGATCAAATTCAAAAGTTTTTATATAAACCCGTGTGAAACATTGAAATTTCATACACCAAAATCAAAAAAATTCCAATGGCAGAAAATGCTACTTTTTTTCCTCATCTTCCTCTCACACCACCAAGGCGCCAACATTTTCACAACCCCTTCGTAGCCACAACTGCATCACACCACTGAATCCAACAATTCGACAAAAATTAAAAAAAATAACATTAACTTAAAGATCAAAATATGTAAGAAAAATTAACTAAATGAGACCAAATTTGATCAACCAAATCAAATCAAACCACTGCCATTGAACCACCCAATTCCACCAAAATAAAACATTATCTGTTGAACTAAAAAATTTAGAAAATCAAAAAATTAAAAAGAAAACAAAACAAAACAAAATTGAGGGAGAAATCAACCATAATGAATTAATTGGATTGTGTAATCCTTGATGGTCGGTACCTGTGTTAGATCTCTGTACAAAAAATCAAAAAAATTACCAACAAAATCTAATGATGCTCACACTTCATTAAGGTAGAATTGATAAATGTGGAAAGCAAGGATATGATTGGCAGGGCAATGCCCGTGGTTTTGTTGGTGGTTGATGGGTGGCCATGGTCGAGGGGCGACACTGTTCGGTGGGTTGTATCATTTGGCCCTGGTTTTCGTGGTGAACGTGAAAGCAGGACAAAGAGAGTTCTATGGTGGTCTTTAAGGAATTTTGTCAAACACGTGGTGTCTATGATGGACGGTAAGTGTGTGTGAGAAAGATAGATTGGGACTATAGTGTGGGGATCTTGGGTGGTGGCATGAGTGGGGGCGGAGTAAATGACGTGGAGGTGGGTGGGGCTGGAACCATAGACAGAAGGAAACAGAGAGCAGGGGAAGAAGATAGAGAAATGGAGAGAGAGGTAGATGGAGAGTACCTCGTTGGTGGCTCCGGTGGGTCTCACTGGTGGTTCATCATTGGATGCTTCGGCTGACGAAGAAGGGGTGGCTATGGCTGTGGCGGTGGTGCTGTTCGTTGGTGGTAGAGAGAGAGAGGAACCTAATTATTAGGGCTAATTACACCAAAAAAGGAAGCATATTTCTAGATTACAAAAGTGAAAAAAGGAAAAACAGATAGAAATCAGAGGAGATATCATCTGAGAGAAAGAAAAGGAAGCCAAACACAAATAAAAAATGTATAAAAGGGAAAGAAAGAGCCGAAGAAGCAGAAGAAGAATAAGGAACAGAAGAGGAAAGAAGTAACTAGTCGGCCGATCATCTTCTCAAGCTTGATTTCTTGATTACAGAAGTGAGAGCGAGAGTCGTGAGAGAGAGAGACGCGTGAGTCAGGAAATGTTGGTGAGCGAGAAAAAAAAATTTAGTATTCACTGTAGATCGTTAGATCACAATTTTTGAAATGATCTGCACCATCTTTTATGTTGGGATTATATTATCTATTAAATGTGTTTATATTTTGTCTCAAAATGATCTGGACCTCTCTTTGTCTCCAAAATTTAAACTCAGCTCTACTTTATTATATATATAAAATAAAGTACAATATAAAAAATAACTTTTGCTTTTTACGGTTGCGATCGTTTTAAATTTTACTTTAAAATTAATCCGACGACTAATATTGACTCCCCAAATTTAATAGGAAAAGTACAATATAAAAAACAACTTTTGTTTTTTGCGGTTGAGATCATTTTAAATTTTATTTTAAAATTAATTCGATGACTAATATTAACTTCCCAATTTAATAGGAAAAATAGGCCTCCTAAGGTTTTTTTTTAAGTGACTTTTCAAAAGTGCTTCTATATCTTATGACTTCTCTTAAACACTTTTAAAAAAAAACATAGGGATTGAAACAATTTATTTTAATTACTTTTAAATAAGTCAAAAGTAGTTTTATGACTTAAATAAGTAAATAAAAGTAAAAAAAAAACTTCTACTTCTTTAAAATCACTTATTTATAAAACACTACATTACCACCATCGCCGTAGCCACCCTACTATCGCCACCGCCACTGCCACCACCTACCGCCATCACCACTGTCATCACTCACCACTGATTGTTACCATCGTCGCCCACTGCCACCGCCATCGCCATCGCCACCGCCACCGCCACCACCCACCACCATTATCATCTCATTGTTATATTTATTACCACTACTACTGTTATCCCACCACTACTGTCGCCCACGGCGACTCACTACCACAACCCACCACCATATGTCGTCACCTGCCGCCACCGCCACCACACCTATCACCATCAACTGTCATCGCCCACCACCGCCGCTATCCACTGTCACTCACCTGCACTACACCTACCACCACCACTGCCATTCGCCACCACCCAACACCACTTTTGGCCATCACCATCGTCACCGCCTACCACCATAACCTACCACCACTGTCGTCGCCCCGCCACCACCACTATCAACCATTATCATTGTCGCCCACCGCCACCCACACCCACCACCATCACCACTACCAACCATGATTGTCACTATCATCATCGTTGCTACCTATGGCTGCCATCACCACTATAGTCGTCGCCATGTACAACAACCATTATCGTCTTCCACCACCACTACTACAATCGGAGTTTAAATTTTTTTTCTCTTCTACATGTTTGTGATTTAATTTTGAGTGTAAATACAAATATATTTATGATTGACAATTTTTCACTTTCATAAGGAAAGGTCTTCACAAGTCTTCCTTCCACAACTTTAAATTCTAGAATGTTGAATTATTAAATGAAGAGACAATCTTTCATCCAATCTAATTCTTATACATTAGACCACCACTCACTCTCTCACTTCAACTCTCACCAACTTCCCATTCATCCTTCAACTTCCCACACCCTTTTTTGTAACTTCTCAACTCCCTTTTCTTTTCTATTCTTTTTAAATGAGATAGAGAAAGGGCGGTATGAAAACGTTAGAACAAGTGCAAATGTAAATCCAGTGTATCGTGGGTCCAACAGTAGTATATCAGTATATGAATCTGTTCCACAGGATTATGAACAATACTGGTATACGACAATAAGAACCGGCAAAAATATAAGAGAGAAACCCAGTAAGATGTCAGAGAAGCAAAATATAGGAGATCACAAACGTAGATTGCTTGCGGCTAAATATGAATTGAGACAAAAGCTTTATAAAGCCTTTTGTAAAGATCCCGATCTTCCTAGTGATATGCGGGACAAACATCGTTATAAGTTGTCCAAGCTGCCGGGTGTCATAAGTCATAATAGAATAAAAGATTCAAACAAGTGACCAAACAAAAGAATATAATGAAATAAACGCGGAATTCAATATGGTGACGGAGAAGAAAAGAATTTTCCACACAATCAATCATAAACTCATTCTCTGTTTTTTTGTTTTTGTATAGGAAACAAAACTCCTTTATTAATATAGAAAGTGAAAGCCCATCAAGAGAGACTGACTGGATAAGAAATCCAACAAATATAGGAATAATAACAGTAATCATAAGCTTATTCTCTGTTATGCACAATTATAAAACCATAGGTGAACAAATAAATGAAAACTATAATTTCAAGCGGACTTTTATTGATTCTGTGATATATACTGCTCAAGAAGGTTTTCAAGACAACCAAATTCATCTTAAAGCAAACAGGGGAGCAACTTTATAGTGAAAATGTAAAGTACACCTTGACTAGCAAACAGATAATATCACCACTAGTTCCAGGAGAAGATAAAAACCGCTCCCCCTACCAAAGGCCTATAGCAAATAATCATGCCAATTCTCGGGCAAATTTGTGTTTCTTTCCAAAAACCCAAAATCAGGGTTTTTTGGCAAAAAGAGCCCCTTGGAGACTCCAGCCATGATTACTAACTAGAGTTGTCTTTAGGGGGGGCATTTCAATCATCCTAAGGAAAGGGGCAACATTAACAAATCTACTAAAGCAAGGGCACTTAATCTAATATCCAAAACAATAAAACCACAAGACAAAACTACGAAAATTCAAAAAAACAAAAAACAATGAAAAACAAAAAAAGCAGATAGCAGCTAGAACCATACAAATCTTATATGATTAATTTGTTGCCAAATGGGAACACAAAGATAAGTTTTAATCAAGCACAAACAAACACCTCAGTTCCACAATACGCTGCACAGAAAAATCAAGTGTTATTTGTATGTGAAGCATCAAATTTGAGTAAACAAGAGATTCTCGCCAAATTATGTTTACTTGCCGAGAAAATACACCAAGAGACCGTTAACAAAACACAATCAACTTTCTCGGTATCCAAACAGGGTCCTAATCAGCTTGTAGAATTCGATTTTTACACCCAAAAAGAAAAAATAGAAAGATGTTACCTCGAGCACCGCTATCCACCCAAAGTTTTCCCTCTCAAGAAGTCGCGAATGGAGTCGTCGTTTTATCTTTATCTCTCTCTCTCTTTAAACGACACCATCACCGGCAGTCTGCTCCGATCTGTGTCTCCGATTCACCTACTTGATTAACAAGTTCGTCGTGTTAAAAGGATTCGCCGACAAAACGAGGACGAAATTGTTGTCTTCGTAAATGTTTCTTTTGGCTGAATTGCAATTACACCCTTAAACTATTGATGAAATTTCTATTTGGTCCCTAAAGTTTTGATTTAAACAATTTAATCATTAAAGTCGCGATTGTATGTCAATTACATACTTCCGTCCAAATCCATTTTAAACACCAAATGGAATTTCATCATTTTTGGACAACCCGTCAACTCCCTTACTTGCCATTCTTAGGGCCTGTTTGTTATATTTTTTGAGAAGAGTTTGAATTGAATTGTCAAAACTCGAGTTTGACCCAAATATGGAATTCAACATTTAATGATGTCTATACCCATGTTTGGTATGCGCAGAAATATATGACTATTATGATAATATATTTGTATTAAAATAACTATTATGCCCCTTAACCAATTTGTATATATGAGATATATAAGATATATAGGAGTATAAATGTCATTTGCATGTTAAACCCCCAAACCAACAAAAGAAACCCACCCCCCTTGGGTTTCATGAAATCCAAGTATGTGGGTTTCATGACCTGGCCGAGTTTGAAATCATATTCATACTTCATGGTTACCAAACATGGGTTTAAGGGGGTTTACTCCCTAACCCATATTTCCAAACCACCCCAAACCCACATACCAAACAACCTCTTAGAGTATCTCTAATGTCCCTCGCCAGTGCAATTTTTTTAGCCATTTTGGTGAGCAAAATTTTAAATCATGTGCTCCAATGCCCTGGTTATCCAGTTCGCCAAAATCTAGGAAGTCAAATTGTTCGCGTAGATCTGGTGAGGACAATCCACACGCCAGTTGCTACCTTCTTTCCATTTCTGCACAACGACACACTTCCTTCTTTCCATTTTCTCCTTCAGGTATCTCTTTCTCTCTCTGTGGCTTCATCGTCTTTAAAATGGCAGAACCCAGATGGGTGAAAAGGGCTTCATCGTCTTCGAAGTGGAAGAACCCAAAGAGCATGGTTGGTCCTTCCTCCAAAATCTGGAAACTCCCCCCCCCCCCCACCAATAAATTCTGAAAACTCTCAACAAATTCTAAACTCCCATCAAATTCTGAAAACTCCCAATAAATTTTGAAACCTTAAATTTTGAATATTTACATTTAGACCCCTATAAAATATTAATGTAAGTATTTGAGAAAATCTTAAATTTGTGAGACGTATTGTGCAATTGATTTTTGTTATTTAAAGTGAATGAGTGTTAAATTGCCATTAATTTGTATTATTTAAAATTTTAATTATAATTATTATTATGGTATGATTTTAATTGGGTTGATGATTATACATGCTTTGAGTTGATTTTTTGAATTATATTATTGAAATTAGTTAAAGTTAGTTGAATTAGTCAGCTAAAATAGAGAGCGTGATTGAAGTAAATTTGAAAAAATAGATAGTTAAAGTAGATAATACAATATTTAAATATATTTTGAGTAGCTATTTTAGTAAGTTGGGTTGGAGTT